CAATTTTTCATTTCTAAATATGTCACTCAATACATTTTATGAAATAGAAGATAAATTACACTCTCATTTTTATAGGCTAATTTAATGTATTCTTTTAGCTGCTTCTATGTCAGAACTGTTGATACTCTATGCCTTTAATGCCTCCCTGTCATGAAAAGGAATGTCCCTATAGTGTTTTGGTGAAGCCTTGCTGGGTATTTATTTATATTATGACCAGTGATTGTTTATGCCCACACTGAAGACTGGAATAATGTCATCATGTTTATTTGAGTTGAATAAAAATTCTCTATTTGCCACCCATGATTTTCCATGTCTAAAATATATTCATTCCTGAATCTAGTATAATGTGAAAACATAAGGTAAATTGAATGACATGGTGGGTCATGCTATAAATGAAAAAGACTGTTTAAAGGCAAAATGACTCACAACCTCTGACTTGAAACAAGGCACTGGCTTATCAGTTTGAATATGAAAGATGAAACTTAAAAGACTCAGATGAATTGAAAAAAGACATATAGTGATTGGTGGATTTTTTCCATTTCTAGATGGCTATAAATGCTAGTTTAATATTTAAATAATATCATGATTATATTTTTACCTTTGCTTTTTTGTTGTTTTTGTTTTCTGACACATGGTCTCACTCCACCTAAAATTTTCCTGAAGCTCACTATACAGCCAGGCTGGTCTTGAATTCACAGTATTTTTCTTGCCTCAGATTCATAAGTTTTGGGAATAGGAGTACATACACAAATTTCTTAATATTTGGATTGTACTTTGTTTTGTTTTTTTGAGTCTTGATTCAGGGTAGACATTGGTGTCATTTTACCATCCTTCTTACTAATATTTTAATATATAAATTATAAAAGATGTCCCTAGCATGCTTATAAGACTTGTATTTCTTTAGTACTGTTGTGGTAGATTGAGTGAAAACAATCACCCCTCCCCTAAATACAGGCTTATATTTGCATGCTTAGTCTCCAGTTGAACTATTTGAATGGATAAGGAGGTGTGGCCTTCTTAGAAGAAGAATGACACTTGGTATAGGCTTTGAGGTTTCAAAGACCCACTCTATGCCTTGTCTCTCTTTCTCCCTCTCCCTCTCCTTCTTTCACCCTTCCTCTCTCTGTGTGCTGTCTGTGGATCTGGATGTAAAGGTGTCAGCCACTTTTCCATTATCATGCCTGCCTACCTGGATGACAGGCTACCTGCCATAAGGATAATGAACTAACCCTCTGTAACCAAACCCCCAAAGTTGTGTTTTATAAAAAGATAGAGAGAGAGAATATGTTTGGTGGATGTGCAGTCAGGTGTGGGGGAAGAGGGTGCCTCCTGGTGTCCATGTGTCCATGCTGAGGCATTCCTTCCCCCTGAGGGACCAGCCACACATGACTGATGGTATAGTATAGGACTAAGTTTACTCAGGGCATGGGGAGAGAAGGGGAGCAGGTCAAGAGGACAGAGTGAGAGGAAGAAGACAAGAGAGAGAGGAGGGGGCAAGCAGCCCCTTTTATAGTGAGTCAGGCACACCTGGCTGTTGCCAGGTAACTGTGGGGTAGAGCCTAGACAAAATGCTAACTCCCAATTAAATGTTTTCTTTTATAGGATTGCTTTGGTCATAGTGTCTCCTCACAACACTAGAACAGTGACTAATACAGCTATATAGAATAAAGGAAGGACATTTATAGGAATTTTCATGAATCATCTGTTTTATCAATTAGAGGGACCTTATATAAAGTTTTCTATCTTCACATCTATTTCAGAAATCTCTTGACATATAAATCAGACATGCTTACCATGAAAATTTTTTTTTACTTAAATACACATCACTCACCTCTAATGATATAAATGACATTATTGTCAACTTTATTTAGGTGATAATTTAAATAAAATCCAAAGAGGACACACTGTTTAATTTTACAATTTAACAATATGCTGTGTATTAAATTTGTTTACCACTCAATGCAATGAATCATTAAAAGAAAATCTTTCAGTTTATCAAAGTGTAGACTGTCTTCCATTTCTGCGTGTTCTTTCTCACCTTAGAGTCTTGTCACCTTCTGGTTCTCTGATTCTATACGATCATCATTTTGAAATTCCATATGGAAGTGAATGTACTCTTTGTCTTTCTAAGTCTTGTCATTTTATTTACTATCATATAGTCTAATTTCATTCTGTTAGCTCCAAATGATGGACATGACTTCTTTGTATGTTTTAAATCAAATTTATTGCAACTGCTACATGAAATCATAATGTTACACATGATAATGTTACCATGTTTTTTTAAATGTATACTTTGCATAACACTCAGATGAAAACATCTCTAATCTCAAATATGTATCACTTCTTTCTGGTTAAAACACCCAAAGCCTTCCTTCTGGTCTTTAAACTATAGGATATAAACATGTTACATACAGTTGCACAAGAATTTTTTAATTGATTTTTTTAAACTTCATACTTGAATAGTGTATTAGAGTCAATACCACTGGATCCTTTCCCCATTCCAATTCCTTTTGTGTCCCCCCAGTGCACCCCAATTCATAACTTTTATTCTTTAATTATTAATTTTATAAGACATACATGTATTTATAAATACAACCTACAGAGACCATTTAGTATTGCTTGTATGTATAAGTGTATAACGTCAGCTACTTGGAATTGAATAACCTATCAAGGTTCTTAACCCTGGAAAAAAAAATGGCTTAGCAGCCATGAATTGCCTGTAGTTATTCAACTTGATGTTGGACTTCATGAGATTTTCCTCATCTATGATGTCATATCAACTGATGCTGTCTTTGTGAAAGTTTTGTTTAGAGCCATGTTGTTAAGATGTCATGAGTTCAGACACAGTAGTCATCCTGGTCCTCTGACCCTTAAACAGTTCCATCCTTTCTTCCGTGATGTCTCCTCTTCTGCAATGTTCCGAAATCCTCATGCATAGTGGTTGTATGGTAGATGTTTCAATTTGGGATTGGCTCCCCACAGTCAATTGATCTCTGCCTTTTGACCAGTTGTTAATTTCTGTGATTTTTTTTTTGTCTGCTACAAAATGAAACTTACTTGATGGTACAGAGAGAGCGAGCTACACTTATTTGTTTATATAATGATAGTCTTCAGAACACAGTTAGGAATTATAGTGGTTTAGGAAGTGTCAATAATAGGTTTTCTTCTAGGGGCCATGACTTCATCATTAGCTATGACCAATTGGCTAAGTTTACAGTCCCAGGCATGAATTCTCTACTACTAACAGAATTTAAATCCAAAAATACATGTATAGTATACAAACATATATGTATACATACATAAATAATTTAAATGAAGTTGTAGTAATAGTGTTATTTCCCAGAGCTATTGACTAACAAACTCACCAATGTCAAGCATGGTAAATCTCCCTTTGAGTTGTTTTGTTACAGGGCTGTAAGAGAACACTCATTGAAAAACAGGCTACTGTCATTACCTTTGCGTGCCCTCATAAATTTTGTAGGGTCCTCCTAAATTTCATAGGGTAACCTGTGTTTTCAATTGTTTTTGTAGCCCTCAGTTCTTGGCTAGTTGGATATGTAAATGCCACTCCCTCACCTGCCTTTAAAAGAAAGGAAACCTGTCCAGAAGACGAAGACCTTCCCCAGTTTACTAGTTGAGTAAGGAATTTGGCTTCTTGCATAGTAAGGAACTAGGGTAGAAAGTAGCAGGGAAGAGCTGGGACAGAACTTTAGGGAAGCTGAGATGCAGGCAGAGGGTGGGAGATCCTAGAGACAGCAGAAAATAGGCTGGACTGAGCTAGGAAGCAAGCAGTGAGAACCATATGAAATGACAGAATGACAAATAAATTGGGTTAAGTAATACGTGTGAGAGCAATCTTTTCATGTTGCACATGTGGGTGAGATCATTCAGGATTTCTGAGTCTGACTTATATCCTGTAACATACTGATGCCTCTTTTAATTAATATTCTTTCATCTCATCATTTTAATGGCTAGTATTTGACTGTAGATATGCATCACTTTTTTCTACAATTCTTTTTATCAGTATATTCTACTTCTAGTGGATTGTGGATAGCAGTTTGCTCATGTCTCCTAAGCACACTGATTGTATGATCTTTAGCTATATAATCAGTCCTGGAACTGCTAGATCATATGGCAGTTGTTTTCCTAACATTTTGGAAAAATCTGTACTGTTTTCCATAATTGATGTGGTCATTTTTATTTCTTCTGTGTTTCTTTTAGAGTTGCCATGTCCAGATAACTGGCAGAACAATGCATAGGAAAGATTTACAAGTACTCACCATTCATAGGATTACAAATCCAACATAGGGAACCAGATCAGAGTGGCTCTACCTGTGATGCTGGAAGTATGAGATGGTGAGAATTCAGATCGTGGAAGACAAGGAAATACAGACCCAGACCGCAGAGTCCGCACTATTGCTGACCTATCACATTCAAGAGCATCACTTTGAGATAAGCCTCAACTTAGTAAAGGTTACACAGCCTCTTAAAAGAGTTTATCATCTGTTAAACTGGAACTCAAGACATGAGCCCATGAGAGACATTACAATGAAAACATTTAATGTCAGTGCACAAGGGAACCCATAGCCATAAAATCTAAATACATTTTATCTTCTGCTGTCTTACATAACTTAGGTAGATCAGTTGGCATAGAGTTGAGAATCCACTACTAATAGAAATCAATTTATTTCTTGCATCTGGGATTGCATTAATAGGGCCTATACTTTCAAATAGAATCATTTTACTTTATGTTCTTAAGTAAGAAAACTATCTGAGGCACATAAGATATTTATCCAGTTCACAATTTAGTAGAACTTCAAAACCTGAATCCTTATGTATGCTGTTCATTGAATGCTGATCAATTTCACATTTCACAACCAGAAAATTAAGCATACAGTAAATAACTCACAAAAGCAAGCACAGATAAATATCAAATCAGTATATTCATTAGCTTAAAATTTTAGTATTCATAAATTTGTGAAGAAATTCAGCACTATAAATTTCATTTGCAATGCAGGCTTTATTTTTGAGTTAAGAGATTAATTACAGAGTTCTCAAAGGACCTCAGTATCTGAGGTCAAAGAGAAAGTGAAGAATTGGCAATCAGGGAACCAGAAGACAATTCTTCCTGGCCAAAGGAAGACAACAAAGGCCAGGGATCCAGGAGTGAATTGTGGTGGTCAGCAAAACTGGAAGTTAGAAAGAAGATTAGTAGAATCCAGAGCCAGAGCCACAGCTCGGTCTATAGCAAGGAGACTGGCAGGTTCTATAGGGTACATAGGATGGGTGGCAGAATCCAGATCCATAGCCCAGAGAAGAGAAGCCTTGTGGCCTAAAGCCACTGGACCCACAGCTCAGTGAGTAAGAGCTTCTAGACCCATAACCCAGAGAGTAGCAGCTGCTGGATCCAAAGCCCTGAGAACCAGCATATGTGGACCTGCAGGGACTGCCAATGCTGGAGACTCTTGGGCTGTAGCAGGGCCGCTGGCAGGAGCTGTGCACCACATGGGAAGTCTGGCATCTGATGGGCTGGAAGCAGTTCTGATGACAGCCATGGCTGAAAGAAGAACCCGGATGGCAGTTTCTGGGAGAGTAGAAGTTAGTGCTCTGGAGTAGGTGACTGGGGTAGGAAGAGCCACAAGAGGAATGAGGGTAGTTCAGGTGATCTCCACAGGAGCGGGAAGAGAAGTTTCCAGAATAGCAGCCGTAGGACATGTTGATGGCAGTTGTAAGTTAAGCTGAGTACAACAGAAGATTCTGAGTTTGAAAATCACTCCTTTTCTGGGACCTTTATATACTCTCAGCAATGGGTGTGGCTTCTTATACAATCATTCTTTCCATATTTGGACTCCCTCATCTGCATGTCTGGACCTCAGTAATTTTCTTTATGACTGCAGTCAGCTAACTCTTTAATCTTACGTTAAAGGGAGAACTCATTTTTTTTATATGTCTGAGTCAATGAAATGCATTTATGCTACAAAAGCTATGACTATTTAATTAGTGCCTCTGGCATTATGCTCAGGAAATCCCCCATTGTTCTTTGTCTATGACGTGTACGTGTTCTTGTTTGGGGATGGGAATTACTCTTAGAGATGACAAAGTCTTGATCCTCAATTCGTCATTGGATAGAGGGCAAAATGTTGCATTGACAAGAAGCCATTTCAAGATGGCTTCAATATCAAATCATTGATTCGTACTCTGCAGTATAATGTTCCAATTTTTAATACATTATTATCAATGATTATTATGTCCAGTCTATAAGAGCTACATAAATGCAAGCCAAAAGAATTAAGACATTGTACAAAACTATTCTAATCTTGAACAAATGTGTATAAAAATGATTATTTAGAATAATGAGATCAAAACAATATGGAGCCTTTAAGGGGCTTTGTGAAGAAAAATAGAGATTACATTTAGTGTACAAGAGTCAATTGCATCGGGAGGAATGGTATTGTGGATATATTTTTTATTTAATCTACTGAATAGTCTCCTCTTAGTTCAAATTCTTCTAGAGTTTCCTTCCCAATGTATATCACTAACCACCATTTCAATGTAATCGATGGTTTCAGAGCTTATCCATATTCAGTCTACTTGTCCGTGCTTTCTTACCAGAGGGAGTTCCAGAGTTTGTGAATATTGAAGAGGATACTTTCATGAGTCACCATTATCAGAACAATATATCATAAATGAGAATACATCTAAGTATGAATGTTAATTTAGAATGAAAGTAATAGTAAAATCTCTAAACTTGGAAAGATCAAAAAAAAACCCAGCATACATCACAAAATCAGAAAGTGATGCCTCCTTCCTCTGTGAGCCTATGGATATACCCCTGACCTGGATGGATGATCACCTCTACATACGAGAGTAGAGTTTTTGACATGGTTTTCTATAGAGGGTGAAAATAATATTTTTCCTTTATAGACTGAGCAAAGGAAAATGCTGAAAGTATTTGAGATGACAGAAATAGCTCCTTTCAATATCTTCATTTATTGTTAGAAATATCTCAGCTTTAACCTTCCTTTCACTTCTCAGCTGGTGCTTCAAGTCATGGACCCTGTTGGTCCCAGTCAGGTGTCTCTCTCTCCACATTCTTGCCCAGTCTACAAGCTGTGGATGTTATTATTTATGTGGGACTCCACAGCAAATGGCTGTGAGCCTTGTAGTTTAGGGCCTATGAAAGTTGCTGACCCTACCCACTAAAAATAGACTCTTCCCAGACCCAGACAAATAGAAGTATGAAAGAGCTCACAGCGTCTTCTCTGGGGTCAGCACTGTTGCCAAGGCATTGTAGAAGCCATAAGAGAGATGGCTTATTACTTCTCCACACGCCATGGGATTTGCATGCATTACACCCAAACCCATGCAGGAACTTTAGTTTCTTTCTTGTTTTGGTTTGATCTTGCAACAATTTAGGAAAGATGTTGTAGAGAAAACATTTGCCCTGCATAAAACCTCCACCAATGAACTTACACTACTAGTTCTTGGGTTTGAATCTAAGACCATGAATTCTGTATCAGAAATAGCTTACATAGTTTTCTCTTTTTTTTTCTTTTAAAATGTCTCCTGTCCATCACTCTTCTCTGTGCCTATAGATAACTCTACTGCTGTTCCAAGTGTCATTATTTTCTAGAAGAAATTGCTACAGGATTGCTACTTATATAGGAGAATTGGACCTTCTAGCAGGTGGCAGAGCACCTTCAGAGTTTCAATGTTTCTACTTCAGTGTTCTCTGACAGTCATCAGTTTGATCTACAGAAATGTGTTTACTATCTGTAGAGCAAGAAACCCTCTGAACCTGCTCATGGACTGTGGACTGCCGTCCCTAGCTCTCAAGCTACTAAGCTGCGGTTTCTACTACATCTTCCTAGAACATTGGTAAAGGTCAGAAAAGACAAAGCCTTGAATCCTACGCTTCATTACTTGATTCTGACTTGTGGAAGACATCAATGTTTGTGAATTGTTGTTATGACACAGTAAAGGGACTCACATGTGCTCAAATCTCCTTCCTAAGACCTTTGTGGCAGAGTTTTCTTGCAAGGATGAACTCTGTTTGGTGATTATCTTGCTGTACATTTCTGTTGTCCCCTTTCTTGCTCTTCCGACTCATTAATTCCACATAAAAACACAAAACAATAAAATACTTGAAAGAGTCATTGTGAATTTTTAATATAACTATGCTTCCTGGCAATTCAGAACAAATGTAGTGATGTAATCCACCAAAGGTCAAACAGGTGATATCAGTGTTTAAAATGGACAATGTCAAGGCTTCTGTCACTGAATGATAAATTCATTTGATGAAAATATAATAGGGTTAAGCGACAGACACTGAAATTACCATTGCCCTTTCTGTAAAAGTATGTTTAATCGTAATGTCTTTAAAAGCATCACTCCATGACTTGGATGACAAGGAACTTCTCAAACATCCAACAACTAACATCTATGTTTTTAAAGTTATGATCTTCTAATTCTTTAAATGTCTTTCTCTGGGTTCCTGGTAACTAGGGTAAATATCTTAGTTAGTTTACTATTAGAACCAGATTTTTTTTCAAGTCAGCAATTCCTAAAATCTTTCTAAAAGGAGACATCTTGTCAAAACTGAAGTAAGTTTTCAATCCCTGGAGGCAAGCTCAGTGGTGATCAAATTCATCAAGTCAGCACATATTCCCATTATGGCACAACGTTGTGACTACCTTCTCAGACATGTATTAGGATCCCTTTCATCCTTACATATCCCCTGCCTTTCCTCCTTCCATGAGATGGGACCACAAGAGCACATTAAAATTCTACATCAAATCCAGCACACACAGTCTACTTCTTTTACATGTAGGTCCCATGGGCTATCTGTCAAACTTCATATTATGTAGCAATACTTACAAGCTAAAAAGAACACACATGAGATATTGACTTCCAGATTTTTAAAAACCAGCTACTATCTTGGATGATTGTCTGGAGCTGAGCCCAAGCTTGAGGGTGTGTGCCTCTTTACTCCTGACCACTAATCCTCATACTTCACAGATCCCAGATCACGTCTCATTCATTGTTAGTCACCATGTTCATTAGCATCTCTGTCATTAGTAAGAGAATGAGCTTGAGAACTAAGGAGCTTTGTGTTTGGTAAAAAGAAGGAGAGAGAGAGAGAAGGAGGAGGAGGAGGAGGAGGAGGAGGAGGAGGAGGAGGAGGAGGAAAGAAGGAAGAAAGGAAGGAAGGAAGAAAGGAAGGAAGGAAGGAAGGAAGGAAGGAAGGAAGGAAGGAAGGAAGGAAGGGAAAAACTGACAAGAAGGAAACACAAATATTTCTTTCTTAATCTTCTATATTTTAAAAATAAGTCTATATTGATGATTAGAATAGAAAACACCAACCTTCAAGTCAATTATCTGTTCTTAACACTTGTACTTACATACTGTTTCTTAGACAGTTAAGTGATTTGAAGTTAGGGACTTTGACTTCAAATGCTTTATAAACTTGTAGAATCTGAGTTGGACAAAAGTTTGGGTCAATGGATGTATTGCTACTGAATATACAGCAGAATTAACAATGGGTCATTTAGGTTATAAAATAATCCAAAATAAAAGTAAATAAGTAATAAATACAGAACTTAAAACAAAATGGGAAAACGTCACCTGCTGTAACTGCAGCACAAATCATTCTGATATCTCAAAGTAGTTGGAAATCACTTCCCAAGGTGACCCCTGGACCACAAAGTCAGCATCTAGCCCATAGCTCCAGCAAGGGTACCCTCACAATGCAGAAATAGCACTATGTGTCTGTGGTTATACCTGCTCAAGATTTGTCTGTCCTAGACAATAAAATACAAAGTCAAAATTTCAAAAAAAATGTATATAATTTCTGTTTGTAACATTGTGATTATGTTGTAAGGGCAGTTCTCTGTATCACCATGGTGTGCTCTCTGTTCAAGTGTCTGTGCCATTATAACAGTTATTAACGTTTTTGTTTTGGGAATGTGGAAGATGGATAGAGTGGTATTGATATCCATCCTGAGAAATGTAATATTTCAGAGCTTAACAGTGGCTGTGTGTCACTACCCAATGATACTGTACAGATGGCCCTTGATGACAAGTAATGACTCCTTTAGCTGTAAATACCAGAGAGAAGAATAGCAATTTTGACACACTGTGACAACTGAAAATGGGAGGCAGAATAAAAAAGGCTTTTGGGTTCAAAGGCAGATGAATAGTATTCTGAGTTCAGGACTGGTACACAAACCAATCCTGTGGTATACAGGAGACTTTCGAGGGATTCATGAGCACAGAACAGGAAGGGAAAACTTTTGTCTCATGTGTAGTTGTCTCATGAGAAATAAAAATATGATGGTTCTGTCAATATCAAGTACTTGCCATTTCTTCATTTTTGTTGGCCAACTGAGTAAAGGTTGACTGTATCTAGTAACTGTATTTGTAATTTCCCTGCTCAGAAGCAAGAAGCATCAACAGGAATTAGGTACAATTCAGGAGATGGATTTTACTTAGTCCTAGGGGAAGCAGTAAGATACAAAATAAGGAGGAATATGAAAAGTGGTTTTTCCTGCTTTGGTACTCTGGGGACTTAACCTTTTTCTGACCCTAAGGTATCACCATCTGCTCTACTTTTAAAAGAATCATTGAAGGGAATTGTGGTAAGATGCATGGGCATGAAGAGCCAGTCCAATATTTATTCTGCATAGATTTGTCAGAGTGAGATGGGTGAGCTTAAAGAGAGTGGGTGGAAGAAAAGGA